GGATACAAATTGGAATAATAAATAAATACATAAATAAATAAATTTAAAATAACTTCAAGGCAAAGATTTCTTCCTTAAAAAACATTTTATTTTGGAAACAAGATATCGGCACGTACAAAGATGAACCCAAAACTAATTTCCCCTTCCATAGGTTACAAAGTTACAAGTTACATTTCCCACCCCAAATTGCTGTCATAAATCACATTTACCAATTGTTAGAAAACGCGGGCATTCCTCCCAACTGCTCCAGTCTACCAAAATGTTATCAGCAATGACCTTGGTTCCCATCCATGTGAATTGTTTTGGCTAACTGAGAATTATCCCCCTCCTCCTTCTAACTAAAAAATGTGGCAACAAAGAAAAAATGAAAATGGCTTCAATTTGGTTTGTTACAGCATTGACACTCGATTGTCCCTCTGTAGAAAGTGGTAAGGACATGTGACACAGAAAATGCAAGTCCTGCTGTGCCCGCTTCACCAGTGTCTCGCTGTTGAGTGACCAAGCCAGCCTAGTTGTAATAATAATAATAATAATAATAATAATAATAATAATAATAATAATAATAATAATAATAATAATAATAATAATAATAATAATAATAATAATAATAATAATGTTGGAAGGGACCTTGGAGATCATCTGGTCCAACCCCCTGCTCAGGCAGGAAACCCTATACCATTTCAGACAGATGGCCATCCAGTCTCTTCTTAAAAACTTCCAGTGTTGGAGCATGGAGTTGTTAACTGCACACCCAGGAATTTGATGGTATAGGGTTTCCTGCTGGAGGATGGGGATGGACTAGAAGACCTCCAAGGTCCCATCCAACAAAACAAATTGTCCATAAGATTGATAGAGGAAAGAACTTCCTATAAGGTCCTGAAAGCTCTTTATGTTCCCTGAGCTTCAGGAGGTGACCACTCCTGGAAAGAGGTGTCAGATGACAATCTGGTTGTTTCTGCAAGACAGTTCAACAAGTAAATTGAGGTCCTGGTGGGCATCTTTGCAGAATAAACTCAATTTCCATCAATGTATAACCTAATACAATCTATTAAAAGACACTCAACTAGATTCATGTTAACCTTGATTTATGTTTCTTTGGCTTAGTGTTCTGTGTGATCCCACCACATTTGTTCATGATAAATGGAAACTTTTGTAGTGTTGAGGAAGTACCTAAGCATTTAGTGTTACTCCTGATGTTCAGATCTCTATTTAGGGATCTCCACTAGGTTCTCAAACATAGACCCATCTCCTAGAATGATGGCAATCACAAAATCATACAATCCATGATATCTCATTTATGGCTTTCAGCCAAATACTCCAATTTCTGAAGGTCTCTTTTCTCTCAGATTCTTCCTTATTTGAGGAGGATCCACTTCAACAACAGTGCTGGAGATGAAGTCTCTTTCTCAGAAAATGGACTGGGATCTGCTCGTTATGATCTGCTCAATTGGATTTTCCTACCCAATCAATCTTTTGTCTCTGTGAAAGTTGGGCAAATAAATCCTGGGGCGTCCCCAGGCCAGGATTTCACCATTAACACAGATGCAATCATCTGGGTCAAAAAAGTGAGCTGAAAGGAAATGTAAATTCATTGAAAGATTCATTCTCTGCTGGGGATGTAGAACTTCCTTCATCCTGGAAAATGCATTAATTTAAACAGAAAACATGGCAGTCATTTGCTGAAAAAACTGCTTTGTATGTAACAGTTTTGAAGTCTGATTTGTGGCAGGTCCACGAAAGGTTGAGATTGGGACAAACTTCTTGGAACATAGGTTGCCCTTAGAGTAGGCAACAGTGTCACCCTTGGACCTTTCCCATTCAGTAGTACTGCCATAATTCTTTCTTTTTGAAAAGTTGTAGATGAATGACTCCAGCCTTTCTTTGCATGCCAAGGTGGCAGTTCTAATCTCCATCATCCATTGTGGGTTGGGAGTGACACTGGCTTGAATTCCCCAGGAACTGTTCCAAAGATCCTGGTGATCCATTTATTTTAAAGACATTGTGAAGATGAACAAATGAATGTGGAAGCAAATAAATGAAGGATATTCATTCTGCAGGTTATCTCAGAGGATTTCTCTTTTCTCTTTTAGGAGATGCCTTTTGCCAGGTGTGGCATGAAGAGGTGTCATGCAGGAGATAGGAGAAGTGTCCCAGAGGGCAAGCCAGTTTGCTGTTACCAATGTGCCCCTTGTCCAGAAGGGACCATTTCTAATCAGACAGGTAGAGCACACTTCTATATAGTTTTTCCAGGAGCCATTTAGTAGACAAAAATATGAAATCATTTTGTCATGCCTGTTATGATTGACATGCCTCAGAGTATTCATTGTTCTCAACAATGTCCGTTCCACATAAGTCACCATTCTTGCTCCTTGGCAATTTAATGGGGGGTATTTTCAGGGCACAATTTATGGGTCCCTATAAGCAGTTAACTGCTAGTCCCACCTAGCAGTTTGAAAATATGCAAATGCATGTAGATAAAAAAAATACTATTTCGGTGAAATTGTAACAGTATTTCATGCACCTTTGGCATATAGTTTCCATCACCACAGAAATGTATTCAGACAATGCTGGCCCCCTTGGTTAAGAAATGGAGATGAGCACCACACCCTAGAGATGGACATGAGTGAGCACAGAAACCTATTAACCTCACAACTCCTAAGGAAAACCAAGCAACAATGTTTTCCTGAAGGCATGGGGTATAAAAGTCCAAGCTTTAATTTTTATTATTAAGGTGCGCTTCTTCTGTCAGCACTATCAATCCCAGGAAATTGATAGACTTGTTGGGGAAAGAGGAACATAGAACATAGAATCATAGAGCTGGAAGGGACCTTGGAGGTCTTCTAGTCCAACTCCCTGCTCAAGCAGGAGACCCTATACTATTCGGGACAAATGCCTGTCCAATCTCTTCTTGAAGACCTCCAGTGATGGAGCACGCACAAATTCTGGAGGCAAGATGTTTCTAGCCTGTCCAGAAAATGACAAACTCAGAGTGCTCATCCTAGCTCTTTGGCTTCCTGGAGAACTAGGCAAGACACCCCTCCAAATCTGCCTATGAGCTGTGGTGGCGTAGTGGTTAGAATACAGTACAGCAGGCTACTTCTGCTGACTGCCAGCAGTTTGACAGTTTGATTCTCACTGGCTCAGGGTTGACTCAGCCTTCCATCCTTCCGAGATCAGTAAAATGAGACCCAGATTGTTGGGGGCAAGACGCTGACTCTGTAAGAGATACTGTAACTGTAAAGCACTGTGAAGTGGTATATAAGTGTAAGTGCTATTGCTAAATGCTATTGCTACAACTCTGGGGCACTTATTCATAGGAGATTTGTCTATCCATGTTTGTTAATTATTTCATGTATCAAAAGGTTAAATAAGTGGATATGAAGTACAAAGCAGATACATTGAGCCAAAGAGTGCTATTTTAGATCTGGATCTTGTTTCCTTTCTCCCTCTTGGAATCAATTTCCTGTAATTCACTTCTGATTAGGAAAAGAGATCTTTCTCTCTTAGAATGCAAAGTGCTTGTTTTAATCTCCTTTTTTTATGACCCGTGACCTTCTCAGCACACATCAGTAGATAATACGCAGACACAGAAAACAACATGATAGCTGTTTGACACATCTATCAGTCTGTTGAGGATTGCAGTATAAAATGCGAAAAAAATAGAGTTGACAACCTTTCTGATACTAAAAAACATGATAATGGAAGTGTCCAAAGAATGGAGACGCCTTTTGGAGCCAAACAGACTCTTGTCTCTAGTTAATCTAATCTTAGGATCATCATAAATGAGGGATGATTTGTTCTTTTTGATAGACCATAATATACAGAATGCATCAATCTATCACTACTTTTCTGAGTTGGCCACAGCAGAAAGGGGACAGTCATATAACTCTTGAGGGAAGGATAATGCTTGTGGCAGATGCCCCGGAAATCCTTAGACAAAGATTTTTTTATTTCAGATGCAGCTCATTGTGATCCTTGTCCAGAAGATCAATATCCCAACAAGAACAAGAACCAGTGCATTGCCAAGATGCTCCACTTCCTTGCCTATCAAGAGCCTCTGGGATATGCTTTAGCTTCTCTAGCTTGTTTTCTCTTTCTGATTACATTTGCAGTCCAAGTGATTTTTCTTAAATATCATGACACACCAATCGTCAAGGCCAACAACCGAGATCTCACCTACATCCTCCTGGTCTCCCTCCTGCTCTGCTTCCTCTGCTCCTTCCTCTTCATTGGTCAACCAGGGAAAATCACCTGTCTCTTCCGACAATCTGCCTTTGCCATTCTCTTTTCCCTTGCAGTTTCCTCTGTCTTGGCAAAAACTGTCATGGTGGTTCTGGCCTTCATGGCCACCAAACCAGGGAACAGGGCAAGGAAACTCTTAGGAAAACCATTGACCAACTCCATTGTCATAGCTTGTCCATTGATTCAAGCACTTCTTTGTGCTACCTGGCTTCTAACCTCTCCCCCATTTCCCAGCTTGGATTTCCACTCCTTGGTAGGGGAGACCATCTTGGAATGTAATGAAGGCTTAGCTTCAATGTTTTATGCTGTCCTTGCCTACCTGGGCTTTCTGGCCCTTGTTAGTTTCACTGTAGCCTTTTTGGCTAGGAAATTGCCTGACAGCTTTAATGAAGCCAAGTTCATTACTTTCAGTATGCTGGTCTTCTGCAGTGTTTGGATTACCTTCCTCCCCACCTATTTAAGCACCAAAGGTAAGTCCATGGTGGCCGTGGAGATCTTCTCCATCTTGGCCTCTGGGACTGGTCTCTTGGCTTGTATCTTTTTCCCTAAATGCTTCATTATTTTACTGAGGCCTAATCTGAATTGTAGAGAAAATATAATGAGGCACAAGAATCTGTGATTTATACTAGGATGTGGAACTTTTATTTTGATTTGAGGGCATTTTTTTATTTGATCTGATTTCTAAAATATTATATAATGAGATATGGACTTGTCTATTAAATCACTGGAAATCATATTATGTGACTAATGACAATCTGTCTGTTAATCAGCAACAATCACCTCCCTCCCTTTTATTTTTTTATTAATGCCTATTATCCCAAGGGAGGATCTAATGATAACTTTGAAATAAACATTGATATTTAAGACTTTCCACTAGGACAGGTTCTCACTTCATTTATTTTAATCAAAAGTATCTGTAAAAATATGTTGGATTGGCTATGGGTGTTTTTAAAAATGTCTGTTTCCACAGATTCCTGAACATTTGCTGAGTTTCCTACTAACTTTTTCATTCAATCAACTATTTTTTAAAAAAAATCTGGAGTATAAATGAGCCACTTCGATTCACACGATATTTACTTGAGAAATGTAATTTACTTGAGAAATGTACTTTATTAATAAATAAATTCACGTCATGTAGATATTAATGATATTTTCCTCTCCCTCTTACTATTTATTTATACTTTCCAACTATTATGAAGGAGGAAGAATGGGCAGATTAAAGGAAGGGATGGGTGAGAATATATATACAAATTCCCTTCTTATTCTGATATGCATCTTCTTCAGTCTTGGACCCTCTATACTAGGGTTGAGGGTTCCGTGCAGGATCATAGCTGTTCCTAGTACTGCAGCCTTTTAGACAGAGAGCTCTGACATTGTTCCTAGGATCTGTTGGAGCCACTTCCTTAGAAGTAACAACCCCAACATTGGAACCACTTTAGCTTTTACATTCAACATTCTCTCAAGTTCCTCCTTCAGTCCTTGGTGCTTCTTCAGCTTCTCATATTCCTTCTTCCTGATGTTGCTATCATTTAGTACTGTGTCATCTATCACCACTGCTATCTCCTGGTCCTTGTCTACTACCAAATATTCTGCTTGATTGGCTAGTACCTGCCTATCTGTCTGAATTTGGAAGTCCCACAGAATCTTGGTTTTCTGGTCTTCCACAACCTTCTGTGGGATCTCCCATCTGGACCTAGGAGGGTCTAACCCATATTTTGTGCAGATGTTCCTGTACACAATGTCACTACTTGGTTGTGCTGTTCAATGTATGCTGTTCCTTCCTATGTATTCTATGGTATACTTGTAACTGGTCTATATGTCTGCTATGTGGCCTGCTGGTAGTTCCACATCATCAGCCTTTACTACTTTCCCTCTCTTGACTACCATCTGGCCACACTTTTCTAATTTGCATGATGTCCCCATTGTAGATCCACGTCAGGTGGATCAGTGAGTTGGAGTGTCATTCAGTCTTAGCATACAACTTGATATTATCCATGTAGAGGAGGGTATAAGGAGAAATTTCCTGACAGAACAATTAATCAGGAAAACAATTTGTCTCCAGAAGTTGTGAATGCTCCAACATTGGAAGTTTTTAAGAAGAGATTAGAAAACCATTTGTTTGAAATGATATAGGACTTCCTGCCTGAGCAGGGTATTGGAGTAGAAGACCTCAAAGCTCCCTTACAACTCTGTTATTATATTATTTTGAATACTGGTAAGGTAGGTCCCAGCCTGGATTTGAATCCAGCTCTCCCACATCCAAAGCAGTGCTCTAACCATTATGCTATCCGGTCACTATAAAACATATCAAACATCAAGATGGTTGGGTTTGAAAGAGAAATGTACAAGAAGCTCTTTTCAAAGAGCTGCAGAACCTCTGTTCCACATGATTATCTGCAACAATTCAGTCGTTAACTGTAGCTGGATGAATCTGTGTATCATGGGACAGTGTAGAAGGTGAAGAAATGGGCAGAACAAACACAAGGCATGACAATGGATGTAGAAAAGAAAAATGAACTTTGATGAAAAATTGAACATGGTTAACAGGAGACTGACACATTCATGGTTGGAAGGAGATAAGTGGAGTCTACCAAAAGAACCTGGAAGAATTACAAGCAATTATTTTGTGGTGTAAATTAAAAGTTGAAGCAATGGCAATCTGCAAAGGAGGGAAATTTGACTATATTTTTTAAAAAATTATTTGTAACTAGCTGTACCCGGCCACGCGTTGCTGTGGCTCAGTCTGGTTAAGCTGCTTTTCAAAAAAAGCATGTTTTTACCTGTCACAGGTGTGACATCTCTATAATAGTAGGTATATAAAAACACGTGCGTATTTGAATTCAACGTTGTGTCAAAATTTCAAAGCAATCGGTGAAGAACTTTCGGAGATTTAAGATTTTGAACAAACGAACATTTACATTTTTATTTATATAGATATAAAACAATCTGCAGTTAATATGTAAAGAATTACAGAACCAATAAAGTTGAGAGCAAGTCTTCAGACATCAAACACATTCCAGACTCATTCTCTTCTTTGTGCCAGTTCATATGGGCTTTCAAGGTTAAAACTAGCACTTTCAATGGCACTCAGGTTTTGAATTTCTGATATAAGCAGATTTGGGACCTCAATCGTTTCTCTGAAAATCACATCAAAAGTTGGGATTGTGACATGATTAGTTAGTAGTTAGTATTGCAGCCAAATTGTTTTGCTCAAAGTATTTTGCTTAACCTGGTTATGGATTGCAGGTGGGTAAGAGGTGAGGGAGGGAGTTGGCCAGGAATTTTAAACGGTGGACTCAGAGAGGCAACCAGGTCAATGGGGAAAGAGCCAGTAGAATTTCAATTAGTCTAACTTCTTGACAGAACTTCCTACCTATTTTTACAATCTGTGAGAGAAGTTCCAATTTCTTTCCCTACCAGTTATTCCATCCAAAATTGTTCACACTTAGTAGGGTAAAACTGTTGTTATGTGCTACCATGCCCTTTAACACTCAGGTCAAACTCCATCTTGTCTGCAGGGGCTCAGTTTCATGTAGGCCCAATGCAAAGCTTCAACTCTATTCTCAAGTCCAGCTGCTCTATGGATTAACAGCAAGAGACATAAACATGTTTTCCATTCTGGTGTATGAAGAGAAGTTAGCGTTCAATGGGACGGACAAAGACTTTTTTCTTGCACTTATCAGAAGAACAGTAATTTTTAAGGTATCCCCTATGGATTTCCTACCCACAAAAGTCTTACAAGAGAAAACGTGCTTTAATATATATGCTCTGAGCTCTCCCTGTGGGGGCAGGAAATGTCACCTCACTTTGTATTGGAAACAGTGAACTCCTGGGTTTGGGGAGATTCAGCTGGCCTTTTTGGTCATAGCCCAAACACAGATAAGAGGAAGGACAGTTGATGTAAATTTGTCCCAAGGTCATCTTTTGGCATAGTCAGTCTCTACTCTATTAAAGCTCTGCTGAGATTTCAAGAGCTACCTGCAATTCAGCTTCTGAATTTTTGGAGGGAAGATGCCAAAATGACTGGGCTGCCTTTACTGCTGCTGCTCTTCTGGGTCCTGCCTCCATCTACTGCTAAGACGATGCAAACTATATGTGTGTTGAAGAATCCTTTCGAACTTAAGGAGAAATGGGACTACTATAAGCCTGGTGATCCAGTTATTGGTGGGAATTTACCTCTTGCAACTCTTATTTCCTCCAATGTCCCAGACTTTCAAGTGTGCCCATTCGAGCTTCCTTTTACAATGTTGTAAGTTTCACCTGGAAGGAAAAAAATGTAGATAATAGTTTGTTTGGTTTGGGATTCAGGGACTAATTTCAGAAACCCTTGTTGTGGTGATGTTTGCAATGTCCCAGCATAATTCATATATTTGTCCTTGGTAAAGAGCCAAGCTCATAAAATAGGCTACAATTCTCAATAGTTCCAGGAAGACGATAAACTACATAAAAAGTAAGGAGGGGCAACACGATGGAAATTGTGCTGACCTAGTGAAGAACAACAGAATAACAGAATTGGAAGGACCTTAGAGGTCTTCTAGTCCAGCGCCCTGCTCAAGCAGAAGGCCCTATACAATTTCAGACAAATGGCTGTCCAATCTCTACTTAAAAACCTCCAGTAATGGAGCACTCACAACTTCTGGAGGCAAGTCGTTCCACTGATTAATTGTTCTAACTGTCAGGAAAATTCTCCTTAATTCTAGGTTGGTTCAGGTGCAGGAGAAGCAATTGGGAAGGATTACAGTCACTGGAGCACAGTAAAGTAGGGGAAAATATAGAGATAAAAAATGATCCGGGATATGGGCAGACCAGCTTTTCTCCTTTCTCACTTAGCCATCCAACTTTAATAAACATCCTTTTTAGAAAATAACACAATGAAAATTGGAATTTGCTTCTCCAAAAAAACAATAACAATAGCAATAGCACATGGACTTATATAGCACTTCACAGTGCTTTACAGCCCTCTCTAAGTGGTTTACATAGTCAGCCTATGGCCCCCAATAATCTGGGTCCTCATTTTACTGACCTCAGAAGGACAGAAAGATGAGTCAACCTTGAGCTGGTGAGGATTGAACTGCTGGCAATCTGCAGAATTAGCCTGTAGTACCGCATTCTAACTACTGCACCACCATGGCTCTTAACAACAAAGGCAACAATAACAACAAACACAAGATATAAACTGTGTCCAGCACTAGCTATTTGGTAGTTTCTTAATCTTTTTTGTCATTCTAGATTCAAATCCAAGTACTACCAGCACTTTCAAGCCTTTATGTTTGCAGTCAGAGAGATCAACAAGAATCTGGTTCTCCTTCAAAACATCACACTTGGCTTCCACCTCTTTAGCAATTTCCAGACTGAGACGTCAATTTTCTCAAACAGCATCTCCCTGCTCTCCACTCAAAGCCAAATGGTTCCAGGTTATCAATGTGACCGGCAAAACACTCTGCTCTCTGTCATTGGTGGCCTCAACTCCAAATCCTCAAGGCAGATGGGCTCCATATTCAACATCTTCAAGGTCCCCCAGGTAAGTGGGCTCCACTTGGTAAGTTTATGTTTCTATGCACATGACGAAACTAAAATCAAAATCCAAGATTTTTGGGAGGGGAGGGAGGAAGAGGGCACAGCAGAGTATGTTACTTAGGAATCTGTGCTATAATTGAATGCATTTTCATGTTAGATGTGTCAAGAAATATTTTTATATAGCCCCATAGAGATAATTAATGAGATCTGATTCTGGAATTCTGTACTTGCCAAGAAGAATTCCTTCCTAACTTATTCTTCATAAAAGTGTAGCCACTCTAACAGTGCAATTTATTCTCTGTGTCAGATTGATGGTTTGTTCTCTTAGCTTCTGACCTGACACAATCAGGCAAAATATGTAACTGGTGGCTCTTGCTAAGAAGGGTAGAAGTTTAAGCCTATCACTCAAAATGAGTCAGCATGACTGGTGGAGCAGGAAACCACACAATGGGAACCCTTAAATTCAACATAAAAGTTTACTTTGTCTTTTAAAGATGAATCTCACTTTCTCCAGCTTGGTGTTGGCTTTGACTTCCTTCAGGGAGACAGAACAGTTTATCCTTCCTTCTTCCAAATAAATCAGAATGTATTTCCTCAGTATGTGGGTTTGGTCCAGCTGATCCTGCATTTCCAGTGGAATTGGGTTGGGCTTCTGGCCCCTGAAGATGACAGGGGAGAACATTTCATCTCATCTCTGACATCAAAGCTCAAGGAGAAGGAGATCTGCCTGGCCTTCACTGAAAGGTTGAAATCTGAAGATAGATATATTACAGTGACCAAGTTGCTTCACATTTTCAAAATTTGGTTTAAAAATGAAGTGATTATTCTGTTTGGAGACTCCGCGAGTATTGCAAATGTTCAGGTGGCTGTGTATCTGTACAAACAACCATCCTTTCAGAAAGTTTGGATCTTAACTTCCCATTGGAAACTTAGTCTAGGGAAATCTCAAGACATATTGCAACTTCTAAAGCCTTTCCATGGGGCTTTGCATTTTAGGGGCCACACTGGGGATGTCTCAGAATTCAGACACTTCATCCTGTCTTTAGACCCTTTCAACCCACAAGGGGATGTGTTTCTCCCACAATGGTGGGAAAGGATCTTTGACTGTGACATCCACAAGCTACGCAAGGTCCTTCAAAAGGGGGTAAAACAATGTACAGGAAAGGAGAATTTGCAGAGTCTCCCGTCTTACATGTTTGAAACAAGGATGACTAGTGAAAGTTACAATGTCTACAATGCCGTTTATGCTGTGGCACATGCATTACATGCCATGCATGGATCAGGAGCACAATCAGCCATGATGAGGCTTGGAAAGAGGATATCAAATGTCCAGCCATGGCAGGTAATTTCTCTCAATTCTATCCAATCCACAGATTCTGTGTGAACATTGAACATAGCATTTGTTGTACTGCTCAGCTATGTGAAAAGAGCCTTTGTTAATCTGTGCACCCACAGAAGGACTCCACTGCAAAGAGTCTGATCAACCATAATGAAGCTTGGAAAGAGGATTTCAAATCTCCAGTCATGGCAGGTAATCCGTGACTTTTTATCCAGTGCAGAGATCCTTAGTGAAAAAGTTTGCATTTCTTCAATTACTGTTTAAATGTGTATGCTACTATATCAAAGGTTAACAATAACAATAATATTAATAATAAAGTTGGAAGGGACCTTGCAGATCATCTACTCCAACCCCCTGCTCAGGCAGGAAACCTATACCATTTCAGACAAATGGCTGTCCAGTCTCTTCTTAAAGACTTCCAATGTTGGAGCATTCACCGCTTCTGGAGGCAGGTTGTTCCACTGGTTAATTGTTCTAACTGTCAGGAAGTTTCTCCTTAGTTCCAGGTTGCTTCTCTCCTTGATTAGTTTCCCTCCGTTGCTTCTTGTCCTGCCTTCAGGCGCCTTGGAAAATAGCTTGACTCCCTCTTCTTCTTTTTTTTATAAATGTTATTATTTTTTTACAATAATAACCTTTAATGCTTCATGAATAGCATGTTGTCTGGGTTCATATACTCAAAACAATCAATAACAATTAATTTCTCCAATTAATCAATATGTTAGTTAGTAATATATTTCTTGATTTTCTCTTCTTCCAATAATAATCTCCTTTTGTCTACATTAAACAAATATAATTCTTAATATTTTCAGTACATACAAAGTTGAATATAAACATTTTTTGTATTTATGCATATGATAACATCAACATATAACATATTTTCTAATCAGTTTATGTTTCCATTATATTTATAAAAATCATCTTATACAGGACATTATATGTCCTGTTTTCAAACTTTTTACTAAAGCTTAGTTTCCCCTCAGTATTCAGACCACTCTTATCAGTCATATTTTTCTCAAAATTCATTATTTTTAAATATCAAAGCTTTTCATTTAAATACACCATGTCAATATTTTAACATTTCATATATTCTAGAAATATTATACTACTTATATATCTTAATTCTCTTACTATAAGGCCCCTTTACAAATTTATCTGTTCTTTTGGCCATATTCAAACAATATTTAATCTTATACTACACCATCTAATAATCCTACTCTAGGGCCTCTTTATATCCAAACTTTATGTGTGTGTGTGTGTGTGTGTGTGTCTATTAACCATATTCAAACAAGTGTTTAATCATATAATATTCCCTCTGATATGTTGAATCACATTTCTTGACTCCAACTCTAGTCTTCTTCTTTTGCCATATTGCTTTCCAAGTCAGAAAGTTTAGCTTGCCAGGTTGTATTTTTGTGAGTGTTGTTGGGGGCAAAACCCCCCCACCAAATCAAGTAAAGTATCAGTTTTTTGTCTCCCATGTTGTGATGATTCTTCTGACAGTTCTTTAATCCATTGTATTAGTGTTTCTTTTTTATCCTCAAATTTGTTTTGAAAGCCTGGAGGATAAAGTATCTTTTTAGTCTTCTTTATTACAGTAGGGTTTTGTAGATTTTTTTTTGTATTAAATTGTAGTTTTCTTCACTTGTATCTTTTCTATTTAAGTCACTTTCATTTAATTTATGTTCTGTTGTCTGATTCATTTGTTCATTCTTTGTTGTTATTTTTTGAGTGTTATTCAGTTGTAGATTTAAGTTAGAGATATGTTCATTTATATTGTCAAACTTATTTCTAATCTCATCATGATTTGAAACAATTACCATTTGAATCTGTTGCAGCATTGTGTATATTTTCTCCTGGAATGTATTTGTTTTGTCTTGAGTCATTGTTTCTGCAGATCTTTGAAACTCCAAACTGGGGTCTTCAGGATAAAGTGTTGAGTATAGTTTTCTTTCATTTTTAGATAGGTATATAACATTTATTTTATCTCTCCCCTTTAAGTAATTTTTCATCGGTGTCATAGTCTTTAAATTGGCTTTATCAAACCAGCCCATCTTAAATTCCCAACAGCCAAGTCTTACATAGTTCTTATCTTTATATAATAGTTTTATAATCCAATACATTTCTAATTGTCCAGGCACCACTGAAAACAATATTTTGTAACAGTTCTTCTTTTCAGGGGTCTTTTAATTATCAACCAATCAGGATTCAAAGTATTTAACCATCTAAAAATTTTCTAATAATTTCTCCTTTAGAAGATTAGCCAAAGGCCAAGATTTTTTTTTCTCTGCAAACAGTTCTTAAGTTTAAACATGCAGTTCAGTATGTTTGTAATCCCAGAGGGTCAACAGTTTCTAAACAAATGTAGTTTCATTCAGTAAGAGATACACAGTAAGACATACACTGGATCTAATTTTTGTCTCTGGCCAGTGGCAGAATGATCTGGAAATGGGGGAGATAATTATAGAGCCCTTGTCATGGTCAGATCATGCACTCCTTAGGATGGACTTCTGGACCGCTTCCCCTCGCCGCAGGGAGACAGAACCACCTAGATGGTTCCGTCCCAGGCTCCTGATGGACCCGGAGAGGTTTCTGACGGAGCTTGGGCCATATCCGGAGGATCTAGGTCACGACTCGGCGGAAGATCAGGCTGCGGCCTGGGATGTGGCCGCAGCCGCAGCACTGGACCGAGTCGTGCCACTGCGGCCTCTGACCCGACGTAGATCTCAACTAGCTCCTTGGTTCACCGAGGAGCTGAGAGAAATGAAACGCCAGAAAAGACGCCTAGAGAGCAGTTGGAGGGCTACCCGAACCGAATCCGACCGAACACAGGTAAGGATACATGTTAGATCCTACCTTGTGGCAATGAGAGTGGCGAGATCTAATTACTACTCCACCCTCATTGCGTCATCAGATAACCGCCCGGCCTCCCTCTTCAGGGTGACCCGCTCCCTCCTTCAATTGAGGGGGGGG